TGTCACAAACATCGGCTGGAAGAAACCACAGCTAACACAATACTGCAAAAAAAATAATAATAATACACCCTGAGAACCTAGATTTAGGGAAATTTTTCTGCACAGACTGGTAGAGAAATTCGAATTGTTTCCATCACATATCCCTGCAGTGGCACAATGTGGTGTTTTGAAACGAGGAGGCAAAGTCCTCTGTGATTTTTATGTTTTTTAATCCAATATAAGTTTATGTTCCAGTTACACTGGCACTGTGTTGACTCATTTTCCAGGTTAAATAAATTAATATTATTACTTGCTATTTTATAAGCATGGTTAGACACACAAATACAATTTAAAAGTTTACGCATTCCGTTTTTGATGCAGTGACTCATGAGAACAAATTCCAAAGCAATATGTTTTCATTGTTAAAGGCCTATGAACAGTCACAGCAGTAAATGTATTTTAAAGCTGAAAAACAGTAAAGTTGAAGAGTTTCAGAGATGAAGAGCTTTGCAACTCATGAACAGCTTCAGGCTAACAGTATCAATGAAAATGTGAAAACATCAGCTGAGAGAGTTATTTTTAGTCCAAAAACTTCATCTATCATCATTAAAAAAGATAAATTGCCAAAAAAAAAATGTTTTAGAGAACCTGAGCATTAACATATTATCAACATACTGTACATTAAATGTTCCCCAGTAAAGGAATGTCCACATTTCAATTATTCACACAAATAAACCAACACTTACCGTGTTCTTGTATGATCTCTGCTCTCCTCAACCTTCAAACCCTAATAACTGAACTGAAGTGGGGGTTTGAATGATATTGATTTCCTAAGTTAATAATTTCATTGATATGTGAAAGAAAAAAGGACAAATTGCAACATTCTCCAACAAGGTTTGGCAACATTATTACGCAAGTCATTACGTCAGTCACAGAGATAACCAATTCCACTCTACAAATTCTATCTAGAGTTGAAGACATTTCTTTAATGCTGTTGTTGGACACTAGAATAATAATAATCGGTCATCTTCAGCGGCTGTGGCTTTCCTTCAGTAGGACGGTATTCTGGTAATATCTGGCCATCTTGGGTTGCAGAAATTGTTAATTAGCTTACAGTATTCTTATTACAGTCTCCATGGAGGAACCTGAATTCCGTGAATTGATCCATCTCTATCTCTCTCTGATTTTATTTGATTTATTTCTCTGATATCATTGTCCTGAGAAACATCCACTCACCATTATGGATTGACTGAAACTAATAATTTCTGGTGAACTGTTGCCAGCAATCTTTCTACTTTAAAGTCATTCTTAAAGGAATAGTTCACCCAAAAATGAACATTTGCTGAAAATGTCCTCGCCCTCAGGCCATCCAAGATGAAGATGAGTTTGTTTCTTCATCAGATTCTGAGAAATGTAGCATTACATCACTTGTTCACCAATGGATCCTCTGCAGTGAATGGGTGCCGTCAGAATGAGAGTCCAAACAGCTGATAAAAAACAAATATAGTAATCCACTTTTTTGAAGAGGGGGGTCAATATGGCAATCTTCAGATTCAGAGCCAAATTATAGGGGGGTAAAAATGACTTCAGAAAGATGGCGGCATCATAATAATGTTATTTTTACACAGAGATTGGTAGGTCTATTAGTAAAATCTGGTGACTTTAGCAATCTTTGCTGGATTATGTGCCAATGGTGAACATTCAAAATTGGGGAAAGAGCACATTTCAATTGTTTTGAAAGAGGGAAACAAGATACATTTCTAAGTTCAGCATTACTTATTCTTCAGATATTCCCCTTTAAAACATTATGTATCAGCTGTATAACCATTGAAAATGGGTTATATTCAACAATTTGAATATGGAGCCTCCTTGCGACCCCCATATCTTTGGGACTGAATGATGTAGGTTCTTGGAAATGAAGATTCCAAAAGAAAAGTTTATTAAGAACTCAAATCTAAAATCATACAGCGATATCTTTAATACTTCTTCAGTTATAGGCATGCAAACTTTGGAAAAAGAATATTTATGGCACTCAGAGGTGTGTTCAATGTAGTTGTTTTGACAGAAGAAAACAAGATACATCTCTAGTTTCAACATTAGTTGTTCTTCAGACATTCCTCTTTAAAATTAAAAAAGCATTTTATTTTTGCAAAGTGATCCACATTTGGTTTTTGACCATTGAAAATGTGTATAATTTAACAATTTACCCCTGGAGCCATATTGAGATCCCAGTATCTCTGGAACCGAACCACATAGGGCCTTAAAAACGAAGATGCCGAAAGGAAAGTTTGTTAAGATCCAATATCTAAAAGGGCATTAAGCTATCTTTAATACTAGTTATAGGCATGCAAACTTTGGAGAAAAAAAAATGAAAAGTGCTCTTTCCCCATTTTGGCATAGTCACCATTTGCACATAATGCAACAAAGATTGCTAAAGTCAACATATTTTACTAATAAACCTATCAATCTGTGTGTAAAAATAACATTATGATGCTGCCATCTTACTGAAGTCATTTTTACCCTCCCGTAATTTTGTCTCTGAATCTAGTAATAGTGGATTACTCAGTAAATATTCATCCATGACATTTTATATTTTGGCTTTTATCACTATACAGGTTTATCTTTCTTCAGAAAAAAAAAATTAGAAAATCAAACATTTTTGCCAGGGAAGTTTCTGAAATTTTGTTGATTTGACAGAATGACCCTTATGATTTTTTTTATTTTTTTTTTATGAAAATTTCTTTAAAGCTGCACATTCACCTTATGTAGACCTTACTCTTTTTAAATATCACAACATAGCAATGTCTGTCACCTCCTCATAAACACAATGTGTAGTTTTGTGTGTGTGTGTGTGTGTGTGTGTGAGTGTGTGTGTGTGTGTGTGTGTGTGTGTGTGTGTGTGTGTGT